TTCGCCAATGTATTACGTAAACTAATAATCCCTGATTTTCACAAATAAGTGTACACTTAACAATTCGTCGGGTTATACATATGTATAAACTGAATGAGGCCTGTTCTAACCTAACTTGATTTACTAGTAATTTGTTTATTAGATTGGAACTATAATTGTTTACAATAAGAATATTATATTATGTAACAAAAAAATAACATTATATTTTTTTTTATTATTTTGTCGGTGAATGGTGTAGTGTAGTGTAGCCCTCACGACAGTATATATCTGTGTTAAGGTAGAATAAGTTTAAACAGAATAATTAAAGGGTTAGTATCAACAACACGTCTCCTTCATTCAGTACCTTTCCGACATTACATCGCTACCCGATTGCTCCTTACCGAACAATACGAATGATGATATAGCCAATAATCTACAGCTGCAGATGATCAAGGAACAGATTGAGATTATGTAAAACAACGAGCCCCTAGCAGAGAGGGTTTCCTATCATGATGTCCACCACTACGCTGCGATATATGTGTTATTTACGGTCATTGCGGTGGGCGCCCTGGCATACAGCTGGAGGTGCTGTAGGCGGTCAGCGTCGGGAGCACCCGCGGATGAGGAAGTTTCGGTGCCTATGACGGAACAGGAGACGTCATTGCCACAGGTTCTACCGAGTGTCTGTGCTCAGTATAGTGAATGTGTTATGGGCAATCAGTGTCAAAGTGTGAGTGCAAATAATTTTTCAAAAAAGAATGCACGTGTGTTTAAGCAAAACAGAAGCACATCGCCTGTGCTCAGGTCAGTGTACGCAATTTAAAACCAGTGGCACGTAGCGTCGTTCTACTGGAACCACACTTCGTCTAAGTCCATATGATTCTATTTGAGCCATAAGATATTGGTGTTGTCTATGGTCATGAACTTTGAGCTCCTGGGTCAGTTGAATCTTGTACGGGTGTAGGCCTAAGTTCCGATGCAAAATTCGCCAAGTTGAAGTCTGCGAAGGGCCGAGTTCTTGTGCACGGCGAGGAATCGACTTTCTTCCAAGGTTCGGGTTCTGCTGTACACTTTCACGAACCGCGACGACGTTCTCGGCTGATCTTGCGTTCCTTGAACGTACGGGTATTGGCTGACTATTTTCCAAACCAGTCGTTCCAAATTTGGCCACCAAACGTCAAAGAGTCGACTGTGAAAAGACACCACGTCTACCGTAAAATGGGCGCAATGCGCGCAACGTTTGAACTAGCAAAAACTCATTTTGATAATAAAGTTTTATCATTTGAACGAGCTGTTCTATCGTGTAGCTTGCCATAGTGATTTGGCTTAAGTAACTGAATAACAAACAAAAGATTTGATAATTGTCATCCTAACAAGAAAAATAATCAGCGACATAGGGAGAGAATTACGAGAAATTATACAACAAGAACTACAAACTACTTTACAATTTTTCTTCGCAACAATGGACGAATATCAAGAAAAATTAAAGAATACGAAATAAACGTGTAACTAACGGACTACCAAATAAAAGACATAAAAAAACAACTTTAAAAACATGATAACTAAAAAATGAAGCCATTGAACAAAAAATTAACTCGTTACAACAAAACCTCATTATCAATAACATCGAGATATGTGGTATTGCTGACGAGGAAGCGGAGAATCTATTCGATTTAACAAAAAGAATCGCTTTTAAAATAAACCAAAACCCACAAGATATAATTAAAGCATTCAGAAAAAAAACAGTTCGTTCGAACAACAGAAATAACTCGCAGTCAGTAGTGATTAATTTTATCGTTGAGAGATGGGTCCAAGGAGATATGGTTGGAATTTTCAAAAAATATAGATATCAACTGCTGAGACATAGGACTTTCGCAAGGAAGCAAGATTTACTTCAGGGAATCTCTAACACCTGTTATTTTAGTGTTTCATGGAAGATTTCACTCCACACATAAATGAATATACATATAATAGCAGGAATGAATTCATAGAAAAAAATCCCATAGAATGTAACTATTTATGCACGCTTCATGTAAATTATATAAGATCCAAGTTAAAAACTTTGACCAACTTGAATACATAATAAGCAACAGCTCAAGAATAATACAATCATTGTAGTTACAGAAGCTGACATAAGAGCGGAGTGCTCATCTTTATTTAAACTAGAACATTATGAGATATATTCACAACTTCGTAAAAACAAAAGAGGTGGGGGGAGTCATCTTATATGTGCATAAAAGTGTTTCGTTTAATAAACTTCCAGTGAATACATGTTTTTCCGAATCAATTATTGGTGAAGTGTCAACAAGCTACAACTATAAATTGTGTACTTGTGCATTATACCGGCCTCCGAGCTCTAACCAAGTATTTTTATCAAGGAAATCAAACAGGTAATAATGCAGTTTCCTCCAAAAAGTAATCTGTTCATTCTCTAGGACATGAATAACATTAAATTAAATGAGTCAAATGTTAAATTATGTCTTAACACCATGAGTGAGGTAGGCCTTGATTGTGGGATTCGACAGTATACACGGATTGAATTAAGAGAAAACTTAATTACCAAAAGCTGTATTGATCACATATTTATACGAAGCCTTGACAATCACAGTGCTACTAGCTCATCAATTCATACAGCAGTGATAAAGGATTCCATAGCTGACCATTATATAACCGGTTTTGTGATGGTCCAGACTTCAGAAAAAAAGAGAAAATTAAATATTGTACTAAACCAAACCATCGCAAATTACTAAATGAATTGTGTAATATAGACTGGAGCCAGTGGTTAATAAACAATATTCCTAATGATATAATGAACTTCGTTTCTAACAAATACAATTATTGTATTCATAAAAAATGTCCATATTCTGCAAAAGTACATAAAAGTAGAAGAGGGCATTGAGTATGGATAAATGTGTAATGTGGCCATAAAAATGTGTAATAATAAGAATAAGCTATTACTTATATGGAAACGGGATGAAAGTAATTTTGAAATTAGAATATTGTAAAATAAGTATCGAAATAAAATCAACAAGTATATTAATTAAATAAAAAACATACATATTAAAAGTCAGATAATAGCTAGTTTTAAAAACTGTAAATATGGTAAATTCTACAATATCTAAACTGTCTAGTCTGTTCTTTCGGCTTTGTCGCTTGTTTAGCACCACCCGGGGGACATGTGCAGGGTGGGCCTAGCATTAGGTGGTCGAAGCCTACGGACGCGAGTGACTCATACCCTTGCGTAGATATAGTGGTCAATATCCCCCACCACTTACCGTAGATATCGCAAGAGACGTAAGATGGATACTGGGCCAGGAGATGGGCAGCAGCATCTTCATGATAATGGCTGAATAAAAATAAAACATAAACTGGCCAAATGCGTGTCGGGTCACGCACAACGCCCGTCATAATACGTGGGCATTCTTGATAATGAGCATAATAAGTAAGTTCGCGGTTTGATCGCTATAACGACTAAAGATGGGCCCAAATAGAAATATTGTAACTGAAGGACTTATTTTAAAATCAGACTTATAGAGAGTGGTATTCAAAGAGATTACAAAAACTTTTCGATTTTGAAAATAATACCCATTCTCGCAAGTGAAAAAGTAAAGCTAATAGTAGTAATGCATAGATATAAGTCGTTTTCTTGATAAAAGGTTTATTTTTAACAGTTTACAATAACATTACAAAGTTATAATGCAGCTAGTTTTAGGTCATTTTCTGTGGTGTTGTAACAAAATTTTTACTTATCCAAGTGCATTTTATAACTTGGTCGACTATTACTCGTTAACTTCTCAATCCTACTTAACTCTGATAGTTTTCCTTTTACGTTCATTATAACTACTACTATTGTGTATACTTTTCACATTTTCATATGCAACGGTTTAGTAGGTAGAGGGGGAAGGGGGGATGACTATAATCAAAAATACCACTTTAAAGCCAAATATTTCGCAAACGGACCCCTGAATCGAAAAGATTTTGTTCCACACCCCCAGTGTTTTTGAAAGACCTATCCAACGATACCCCACATGACGTAATAGACGGATAAAAAAACATTTACTTGTATGGGAAGTAGGTACCCAAAATAAAAATGTTTTCTTTTTAAGATTTTATTTGACAGTTTTTTAGGCGTGATTAATATCTGTAACTATGCCAAATTACAGATTTATAGCACCTAGGGCCTCTGAGCAAAACTGCAGACGGACGGACGGACATAGCAAAACTATAAGGGTTCCTTGTTGTGTAACTACGAAACCCTAATAACTGTGCTTGCCAACCTGCTTGCCAAGCGTGACAACTATGACAAACATCCCGCCAATTAGGCAATCTATGGGGGAGGCCTATGTTCATCAGTGAACTTATGATAGCCTATAACGATAATGGTAGGTAAACCAGAGCAGAGACGTTGTTGATATTGATACTGCTTAGATATGTGTATACTGTCTCAAATGTAATTTCTATCAAGTTAAGATCAAGAATCAAGTTAGAAGTTCTGTTTCTAAAACTGAGTGAAAGTGCTCGCGAAATAAGCAGCAAATAATATTGCCACTACGTGCTGTTAATGCTTTATAATTCATTGACTACGCTCAAACACTTCTATGTATGCCTACTACTAGACGGGCTCTGCGGCCCTAGTACACTGCTCACTAAGTTACGGTCAATTCTCCGTAACTCCCATAGTACTCCATATGTACTGTGAGCAAGCGATAACACTAGTTCTATGTTTTATAAACCGCGAACATTTTTTTCGACAATCGAACACTAATTTTGTTTAATGTAACTTAGTAAACGCTATCATTATTTATGTGCGCACTTTGTGTTGTATTAATATATGTATGTATATAGAAGAATTTGACTAAGTTAGACTATTGCTAGAAAAAAATTGATTTGACTAAACATTATTTTATTGCAGATTTTGATCAATTACGCGGGTAAGAGAGCAAATTGAGCATCCCTAATGATTTGCTCCTTCATCATATAGGTGTAGTAATAACGCGGGTTAACCAACGAATAAAACAAACCATAAACGGAGCAGAATCGCTTTCTTCATCTGATTCGGCATCATCAGCGCGTGTCGTGACTTCGGCGGAGTCTTCACCGAAGCAAGGCGTGGCAGCCTCGGTGGCAGCGCCGTCCTCGTCCGCGCGCACTGGCGGCCCGGCCGCGGCGCCCAGCAGCGCGCACACGAGCAGCGCGGCCGCCCGCAGCTGTGAGTGCCGCCCACTCATAGCAGAGCGCCACGGTACCCTGCACTCTACTCTTGTACCGTAACACTTGTCACAAAACAGTGATGTAACAAAAAGCCACTACATTGACAGAAAAATAGACACACGCGAAGTCATTGCTGTGACAACTTCTTTCAAATATTTTTATCGTTACATTTTTAAGTCATTGGCCAGAATTGTTACAAAACTACTGACATCATCGACACGACATAACGACAAATAAATACCATCTGTAATCTTAGAGCGGTAATAACGTAAATATGACTTACTTCGAGTCTGTAGTACTTGATTACACACTTAATTTTGTTTGTGTAAGCAGTAAATTTCATCATGACATTTGCGCAGTTTTCGAAGCGAGTACTTGCCTATCACATATAATTATGTGATTCGCTTGTGCTTCTAAAACTTGATAACCATGTTACAGTCTATGGAAGAATCAAAATGCAGATGCGTTGTCACCAATGAGTACTAAGATGGAATACCTCGTTTCCAGTAAAAAGGGTCTACGTTTTTGTACACTCACCATAAGAAACACAGCAGCATTCAGGCTGCTTTTTTACGCTAGTATTCTGTGAGAGCGTGATCCTATTTCGGTCGAACCGACCCATTCGTGCTACAACCATAATGAAGCCTCAGCGTGGCTACACCACGTTAAAAATAATAGCTTAAATAATAACGTAATAGCTTCATAGCTTAGATTATGAAATGATCAATAAATGTTGCTAAATGATTACGCTTAAATAATTCGATGACAGTTTTATAATATGATTATCAATATATAAACATCATCTGTCATCACGTGAGACACTCAAACGGTTTTAGGCGCCCTCCACATTCGCGCCGTGAACACCCGTGAAAGCCGCGAACCGCGAATGTGGATGGCTTTCGCGCCCGTTCACGGGCTTCGCGCCTGTTCACGCCTTGTTCCCCGTTCAGTGTCGGTATTTTACGCCGCTTCAAAGGGTTTACGAGGCGCGAACCTCCCGCGAAAGCAAGCGCATCCACACTCGCGCGTGAAATCAGTAACGCACGAGACTCGGTGCCGGGAGGTTGTGCTTATTTGTATTTGTTTACGGAGGACGGTGCGTCAAAATGAGCGTCAGTTGGACGAACGAGCAAGAACTCATGTTGATCGAGTGTCTTCATGCCGAACCCATTTTATGGGATGCTAAACATAAATACCATAAAAATAAAATGAGAGTACATGACGCATGGATGCGAATAAAGGAAATAATGAATATTGAAGTGACTGATTTAAAAAAAAAAAGAAAATCTAATGTCCAGTTATAGGACTTATAGGAAAAAGGTGAAGGATTCCGTAAACAAGTCTGGAGCAAGTAGCGACGAAATTTACAAGCCCATTTGGTTTGCCTTTGACGCAATCGATGCTTTTCTAAGAGAAAGCGATCATTGTAAAAAAACTACAAATACGGTTAGTATGTTTTATTTGCAATTTATTATTGATGTCAACATGTAAAGATTATGAGGAAACACTGCGTATTCTTTTTTTTTTATATAATCTAAACAAAGTTTTTTAGATGTTCATTTCTCTTTTAATAATTAATTTATGGAAATAAGGAAACACAGGGACATGCCAATAGTGGCCATAGATTTTTTTGAAAAAATTGCTCTACTGGCATTATCCAGGTAGGAAACAGGGGACTACGTTTGTATGGAAAAACGGCCGTGGTGTTTCCTGTTAAGGCAGGTTTTGTTGCTGGCTTAGTGCAAAGAAGTAATTAGTGAATTCTTCTCTTATTTCTCTCGCATTCGAAGCCGGTCGACGTGGTACGTGTAGCAAATCACGAACAGCAGAATTGCTTTCCAATTCTTGTCTCCACGTACCGGGGTGTGTGAGTATGTCATTGTTATCGTATATGTCGATGGTCCCCGGCGGTGTATATATTGGTAACGAAGTATTGCTTTTTCTGAGATAATTGTGCAACAATATACAAGTCATTGTAATAAGAGAAACCTTTTCTGGGCATAGCTGAAACGGTTTTTTAAACACACGAAATTTTGTCACAAGTATTCCGAATGTATTCTCTACAACAACACGTGCTCGTGACAATGCCTGGTTAAATATACGTTTTGGAGAACCATACTCATGGTTGCCTGGATAAGGTTTCATCACATGATCTGTAAGTGCAAAAGCACCGTCTCCCAAAAATACGTACGGTACATCGACATTCGAGCCAGGAAGAGGGTTTGGTTCAGGAATATTTAAAGCATTTGTGCAAATTTTTTGCCATAGCAAGCTATTTCGAAATACTCCGCCATCACTTATCCTGCCTTGAGAACCAATATCTGCAAAAATAAAATTGTAACTGCTGTCCACCAATGCTAGCAACACTATGCTGAATGTTTTTTTGTAGTTATAATACTCTGATCCTGAGTTACTTGGACATTCTAAAGTGATGTGCTTTCCGTCTATGGATCCAATAGCACGAGGATATTTACGAGCAAATCCATTTTCGATATCTAGCCATTCTTCTGCGGTTGATGGAATCTGTAAAATAAAAAATAAATAAATGTTATAATTGTTTTTTTACTTTTATTTTCAGGAGGAAGAATCAGTTGTTGACAATAAAGAGGTCAAAGGACAACAAGATGTACAAAGTCCGAATGACCAAAAAAAGTTACCACAAACAATCCGTCGGCGCAACAATCCACCTGAACTCCAAGATGCTGGCAAAGTTGTACAAGATGCTCTTGCTACATTAAAATCGACCATCAATAGGAGAGAATCCCAGTCCGACCAAGATGATGTTTATGACCTATATGGTGAAATGTTGTCCAAAAAAATAAAGACCTTACCTGAAGATGACAGATTACCTTTCATGTATGAAATAGACGGCATATTCCTACGCTACCAACAAAATAGTCGAAATCGATACAACAGATTTTCAAATAGCCCAGCTCAGTCTACATCAAGTGCGTATGGGAGACCTAGCACATCACGCTCAACGTATTCCGAACACCAATCTCCGCCTCCATCTGCTGCGTTATATGGTAGACCTAGCACATCTCATCCAATTTATTCCGAACATACAATGAATAATTCGCCATCTCCAGTCAATCACAATTCTGATTATAATACATACACTGGTTCTAGAGTTATAGTAACATCGAATGAAGTTGTAGAACCTCCAGTCATTCACATTCCTCATTGTAGCAGAAACACTGGTTCTAGAGTTATGATAACATCCAATAAAGTAATAAAATCTAGAGGCATTCACATTCCTGACTATAGCACAAACACTGATTCGAGATATATGGTAACATCCAATGACGTAGAATCTCCAGCCACTCATTATATAGCAAACACAGAGACTCCATATGAAGTGACAGAAGATTTACAGACTGAATTTGGAAATGTCATTAATAAAGCATTTCATCTTGCCTAACTGTAAGCCAAAACGTTGCTACTTTTCTGGTGTTCTGATGTTTTATTTTATTAGGATTGATCTCAGAATAAGTACAGACAAGTGCATGTCAAGCTTTACTCTTTCAGTTCTATTCTAACTATTATTACTTATGGCATAAGAAAACTGTACATATTTTAAAGTGTAACTTGTGCTCTTGACATAATCAAGATAATTATGATTCTCTTTTGATATTTAGTTATTGGAGGTGCTGCTTTTAAGTTAATTCAGTTATGATAATAAGTGATTGTTTCCATTTTGAATAAATGAACACGATTTTATGTAAAATTTTATTTTATTACCTTAATTTCCTCCTTCAAGACTTGATTCAAAGCCAAGCATACTTCAGGTATGATCTTCGAAATTATCTGAGGTGAAATTTTGAATAAGAAATGCAAGCTTTCGTAATTATCTCCAGAAGCCAAGAATCTTAACGTGACAGCGAGACGCACTCGAGCTGGAATTGCTTCTCGCAGTTGAGTATCTCGTTTCATAATCACTGGTGAAACCTTATTTAGTAAGTACTCGAAATCTTCTAAAGACATTCGAGTAAACTTTTTAAATTCACCAGAAGGTTCGGCAATTAATTCCATCAATTGGTTTTCCATAGTCAAACTGCAACAAATAAAATGACCCTATTTAACTCGTTTTGTATGCAATAAAATAGTACTGTCAAGTGCATGTCAAGCTTAACACTTGCGGTATACTTGCAGTCCCGTTGTGTAAAAGGTTGATATGCTTTTTGACAATGGTGTCGATTCGGATAGCGAATGCTTTAACTGAATCTCTTAACTTTAAAATTAGTTTAGTCCTGCAATTAAAACCACGTACAGTTTTTTTTTTATGTCTGACAGGATTAAACTAATTAACCGATTCGTTGCGGCACCAATTTTCGACAACTTTTATCTGTGGCGGCAAACAAATATATCATGACACGCCTGGCGTGTCACCCGCACTGAACCGGTTAAACAGTTCTTTCAGGCCACATGAATGGACACTGTTATCATAATATGTAGGTACCACATACCTTGTTCTGTTGCGATGTATCTTTGTCATCCACCATCTTCGTCTTCTCCATTTCTTTTTTATTTTTTTTTATCTTTTATATATACGTAATTGTAGTGAGCCAAAGCGCATAGCGTCACGGCGATGGCAGTGCATATTTCGGCGTCCATTCTTGACGAGCGCGCGAACTAAACTGTGAACGATAGCGAATGTGGAGGGACATGTTTTTCGCGACTATTTCGCGGCAAAATTACGGCGTGAATTCACGCCGTGAATCACACAGGAGTGTGGAGCGCGTATTATAAATCTAAAAAAAGGGTAACCCACAAACTTTGTTCGCGTAGTAGCGTATATAAAGCGCCCTCCAGATTCGCGCTGTGAACACCTGTGAAAGCCGCGAACCGCGAATGTGGATGGCTTTCGCGCCCGTTCACGGGCTTCGCGCTTTTTCACGCCTTGTTCCCCGTTCAGTGTCGGTATTTTGCACCCGCGTCAAAGGGTTTACGAGGCGCGAACCTCCCGCGAACGCAAGCGCATCCACACTCGCGCGTGAAATCAGTAACGCACGAGATTCGGTGCCGTGAGGTTGTGCTTATTAACTTCCTTCTGCGTAGCATTGAAAGGAAGTTAATG